AGAGCAGCGAAGGACAAGAGTAAAAAATGCATGAATCTGCAGTTTTCTTTACATCATACGGAAGGCTGGTTGCGGAGCGTGGTTTTACAAGTCTCAGCAGTCCCTGGCTTGAAGCGAGACGTACAATTTCTATGAGGAGGAGCAGGTGGTCGGATGCAGCTGCCGAATAATCACGCCTCCCCCCACCCCACTCCTTCAAAGGCCTCATCCATAGTCAATGGAGTGGAGTTAAATGGGAGGGGGATATCACATCCATAGGACAAACATCAAGAGCGGAAGTTGCTGTTTCATATTTTCCTCTCCTCCCCCAGCAACATGAGCCTTTTCAGAGCTAGAGATGCTACTTTTTGGGAAGACCGGAATTGCTCCAACAAACTTATTCAGCCACCAAATAACTTACAATTCCCCAAACACAACAAATCTGTTCTCTGGAATGGCAAGAAGTTCAAACCTTAACTCCAGGTTTCCAAGGATGCGTCTAGACCAGGGGTCCTCAAACTAAGGCCCGGGGGCCGGATGCGGCCCCCCAAGGTCATTTACCCGGCCCTCACTCAGGATCAACTTAAGTCTGAAACTACTTAAAAGCACACAACAACAACAACAACAATCCTATCACATCAGCCAAAAACAGGCCCACATTTCCCATTGAAATACTAATAAGTTTATATTTATTAACATTGTTCCTCATTTTAATTATTGTATTGTGTATAAGTGTTTTTTGCACTACAAATAAGATACGTGCAGCGTGCATAGGAATTCGTTCATTTTTTTTTTCAAATTATAATCCGGCTCTCCAACAGTTTGAGCGATTGTGACCTGGCCCTCTGTTTAAAAAGTTTGTGGACCCCTGGTTTAGGAGGCCAGGCCAATAGGCCTTTTCTCCCCTCTTCCTCACAGAAGGCGCGCTAGAGTGCAGCGCCTCAAACAGCGCATGCACATGTTTTTCGTGTCTGGAATGACTTGAGAAACTGCAAGTCGCTTCTTGTGTGAGAGAATTGGCCGTCTGCAAGGACATTGTCCAGGGGACGCCCGGATGCGCACTGAATCGCGGCTGGTGATGGAAGTATGATAGCTGGGTGCAGAAGCTCCGAGTGTTACGCACATTCCTCAATGTGGGTTGTGAATAAGGGAAGGGGAGAGCGGCACATTGAGGGCGGGAATATACTTCGTAGTTGCATTTGGTGGAAGGATAGAAAGGAGGAGAGGGTTAGGATAAGGTTTAAGGCAGGGGTCCTCAAACTACGGCCCGAGGGCCAGATACAGCCCTCCAAGGTCATTTACCTGGCCCTTGCTCAGAGACAACTTAAGTCTGAAACGGCTTGAAAGCACACAACAACAACAATAATCCTATCTCATCAGCCAAAAGCAGGCCCAAATTTCCCATTGAAATACTAATAAGTTTATATTTCTTAAAATTGTTCTTCATTTTAATTATTGTATTGTTCTAGAGTGTTTTTGCACTACAAATAAGATATCTGCAGTGTACATAGGAATTCATTCATGTTTTTTTCAAATTACAATCCGGCCCTCCAACAGTTTGGGGGACTGTGACCTGGCCCTCGGTGTAAAAAGTTTGAGGACCCCTGGTCTAGACTGTATGATTAATGCAGTTTGACCCCATCTCCACTGCCATGGCTCAATGCTAAGGGATTGTGGTAGTTGTCGTTTTATAAAGGTCTTTAACCTTCTCTGCTATAAGGTGCCGATGCCTGACCAAACTCACAGGAATCCATAGCATTGAGCCATGACAATTAAAGAGGCATCGAAGTGCATCAGTTCTACTGTGTGGATGCACCCGTTTCAGGCCTCATCTTTAGTCTTCAGGGTGAAGAAACTCACATATCTATTGTCGAAGGATTTCATGGCCGGAATCACTGGGTTGTTGTAGGATTTTTCGGGCTTTATGGCCATGGTCTAGAGGCATTCTCTCCTGACGTTTCACCTGCATCTATGGCAAGCATCCTCAGAGGTAGTGAGGTCTGTTGGAACTAGGAAAAGGGGTTTATATATCTGTGGAATGACCAGGGTGAGACAAAGGACTCTTGTCTGCTGGAGCTAGGTGTGAATGTTTCAACTGACCACCTTGATTAGCATATAATGGCCTGGCAGTGCCTGGAGCAAACTTTTGTTGAGAGGTGATTAGGCATCCTTGTTTCCTCTCTGTTGTTGTGCTGTTGTAATTTTAGAGCTTTTTAATACTGGTAGCCAGATTTTGTTCATTTTCATGGTTTCCTCGTTTCTGTTGAAATTGTCCACATGCTTGTGGATTTCAAAGGCTTCTCTGTGTAGTCTGACATGGTGTTTGTGAGAGTGGTCCAGCATTTCTGTGTTCACACAGAGAAGCCATTGAAATACACAAGCATGTGGACAATGGGCGAGATCATTCTTTTAAACCTTAGGAAACAGATTTCTGGCATATTGCTATACCCACAAAGCTTACGTTTTAAAGACTCAGCATCAACCCAACCTGCCTGTTTCCATATCAGTGGAGAGAGGTAGTGATCAGGTGAGACTCATCCAGGTATTCTGCTGTATATTTTATCTATATGTATTTTAATCTTGTATTGTTGTATGTTTTAACTTGTATCAGTAGCATCGAATCCTTGCTGTATGCCAGTCTGAGTCCCTCTACGGAGGTGAGAAGATTGGGATATAAAAGTTTTAAATAATTTTTTTAATAAATAGGCATTCCAAGCACCCCCAAGCAGCCCTTTAGATGATACCGAGTTGTAGGAAAATAGCTGGATATTTGTGCACTAATTCTCCCATTGTCCAACTACATGAAAACAGTCATGTTATAGAGCAAAGGACTGTATTGCTTAAGAGATTGGTTCAGGGGAATATGGGTCATTGTCGAGCCACTAAAGAATTCCAAAAAAGTGGGTTAAGATACCGTAAACTGAACTTGAACTACCATAATTCAACAACAGAATGCCAGGACTAATCTTTGATGTAAATGGAAATGCCCCATTTCTGTTTTCCCCCCATCCCAGTGAGCTGTTTTCCTGTGCATACGCTTTAACAAATTGTTCTCATGTTCCATTACCACTCCTTTCATTCTTGCTGGTTCTCAGGGGACGGCTTTCTTCCTCCTTTTACGCAAAGCAACCGAGCTGACAGCTGCTTTTCCCAACTCACCTTGAGCCTCTCCTTTGGTTTAATTGAACCGACGTTGACTAGTTAACAATATGACAGTTCCCAGAGTCAACCTTTTATTTAGTCTGTTAATTGGTTTCCACATTGGCCGGCCAGATGGCTGCGGAAATGCACAAACAAAAAGGAGAACTGGTGAACATAATATTAGCCAAGCCTAGGAGTGTTGCTTGTGCTTTGTATCCAAAGATATACTGCTACTGAAGATGAAGTCTCCATTTAGATGGCATAGCTGTGAGCTACGTTGACAGGTCTCTCTGCCTTCATAAATTCCCAAAGCCCCTTTCTAAAGCCATATAAACTATAGGCCTCTGGAATAATGCTTCTTAATGGGATATTCCCCAGACTAGTACTGATCCTAGGGCTACCGGTGAATTTCCAGTAGAGAAACAGTTGAAGCCAATGGACACAAGTACAATAACTGGTTTGTGGGAAACGAGAAACCAGTGCTTTGACTCTGGAGACAAGAGAGAAACAAGGAGACTTGGTCCTCTGTACAGCTGATCCCAACAAATGTTCACAAAGAGTGGATACTTTGGCATCCTGAAATGTATTGTGTGGCGTTGGCACACCATACTTGTATCTTTAATTAGGTCAATTTGTGGTTGCAATGTGGTTGAGATACCACCATAGCACAGCATGAATCGGAGAGCTCTGCCCTAAATTTCTGCTTTGTCCATGGAACATCCCTCAAAAACAGCTTTATAAGCAAGAATGCTGCAATCTTGATTGTGGGAGCAAACTCCATCTTATGGCATGTGTTCCCTGTCCTCATGCAGCGTTTACATTTCTCTCTTTTTCATCCTTCCTTCACCAACATTTATATTGGAAATGGGTTTACCTATAGGACAGACACCATTAATCCAACCAGTGCATGCAAATCTGTCAAGAACTCTGAATGAGAGTCTAAGGATGCACCTACACTGTGAATGAATGCAGTTTGACACCTATTGAACTGCCATGGCCAAATGCTTTGGTATCATGGGAGTTGTGGTTTTATGCCATCCTTAGCCTTGTTTGCCAAAGAGGGCAGGTGCCGAACCAAACTACCATCCCATGAGTCCATAGACTTGAGCCATGACTGGTTTTTTTTCTGTGTCAGGAGCGACTTGAGAAACTGCAAGTTGCTTCTGGTGTGAGAGAAATGGCCATCTGCAAGGATGTTGCCCAGGGGATGCCTGGATGTTTTAGCATCCTGTAAGAGGCTTCTCTCATGGGAAGCTGGAGCTGACAGATGGGAGCTCACCACGTATTGCGGATTTGAACTGCTAACCTTCAGGTCAGTCAACCGGCACAAGGGTTTAACCCATTGTGCTACCAGGGGCTCTGTCGTGACTGTTAAAGTGGTGTCAAACTGCTTCATTCTGCAATGTAGATGCACCCTTATCTGTGCACCCTTTTGCTCTGAAGGGAATGTAATGGTTCTTTTAGATTAACAGTATTAGCAATGCATTCTAATGTACTTGCCAGCATTGGATTGACAACTATCTTTGCTGAGCGTAAAAGATAAGGAGAGATGTAGAGTGCTTGCAAAGAAAAATTGTTATGAGTTTTCCAAGGTGCTGAAACTGCTGGGAAACTACTTGTTTGTTTATATATTCTCTCTTACTAGTTTTCTTCACTTGCAGAATTTGAACAATGAGAAAATGGGAAGCAGAAAACAATTTCATCCTCATATGGTTTACAATGAATTGTAGCAGCACCAACTTGTTTCCAACTCCATGTTGAACTCCAATTAGCTTTGAACTCTAGGACTGGTTTCACCCTCAACACCTTTTTGGGTGTGCCTTTACCGTATTCTCCAAGCCAGCATAAAAGACACCATATTTTGCATGAGCTCACAAACATTAAGAGAAAGGTTTTTAATTTAATATTCCATGTTCAGACGCAGCTCCCAGAAAATGAAAATCCAAAAAAAAAAATATTGAGAGGTACTTTTTGTTTCCATCAGTAAAAAGTAAAACAATGCACACATTTGATCAAGAACATTCTGATGCAAGAAGAAAACAATGATTGTTCTAAAATGTAGATATTGCCTATAAACTGTGCTTTTTAAAAAGTTGTATGTAATCCTGAAGAAATGATTTCTAGTAACACAAGCTTTCATTCTTTCCAATCAGTTGATCTGTGCTTCTGTGTTTAGGAAATTATAAAAGAATTCCTTTGGGTGGATAAGGGAGTGGAACATATGTTCCCTTTGCTTACCTAAAGCCCATCTACACTGAAGAATTAACGCAGTTTGACACCACTTTAACTGCCATGGCTCAATGCTATGAAACCCTGGGAGTTGTAGTTTGGGGACGCCTCAGCTCCCTTTTGGCAAAGAAGGCTAAAAGCCTTGCAAAACTACATGTCAACAGCTTGTTGCTTTGTGATTATTTGCAGCAAAATGCACTTGGGAGGGCATATATGGGATTTATTTTTTACATGGGTTGTTGTAAATTTTTCGGAATGCATGGCCATGTTCCAGAAGCATTCTCTCCTGACGTTTCACCTGCATCTATGACACACAACCTTTGAGGATGCCTGCCATAGATGCAAGTGAAATGTCAGGAGAGAATGCTTCTGGAACATCACCATACAGCCCGAAAAACTTACAACAACCCAGTGATTCCAGCCAATTTTTTGTTGTGTCAGGATTGACTTGAGAAACAGCAGATTGCTTCCGGTGGGAGAGAATTAGCCGTCTGCATGGACATTGCCCAGGGGGGGCAATGTCCGTGCAGGGCTTGCGGGGGGCTTCTCTCATGTCCCTGCATGAGGAGCTGGAGCTGATAGAGGGAGCTCATCTGCGCTCTCCCCAGATTCGAACCTACAACCTGTTGGTCTTCAGTCCTGCCAATTAAAGGTACGAGCTTTAGCCAGTAGAAAATATCTGCCTACATCTTGGCCTATAAGAAGCGATCTATCTGAAGCAAGAAGTCTACTTCATTGTTTTGATAATGGCGACACGATTCATAATACACATCAATTTTAAAAGAGGCAGTCTACTTGTCTTCAACAAAAACGAGGAAGGCTATTTTCTTGTAGTGCTTTCTTAACAGATGAGAGAGACAATTGGCCAAAACTAACAAAACATATCCAGATCCCTAAGTCACTCTTCACATGGCTTTGCTTTTAGACTCATAACTATTTTGGATGCTCTTCTCTGAAAACGTTTCAGCTTGTCCATATCCTTTTTGAATTGTGGTGCCTAGAACTGGACTCAGTATTCAAGGTCTGACTTTGTATTATAAGGCAATGCCCTATGTTCCTATGATTATCTACAAATTAGAGTATGACCTCCATGAATATGCAAAACCACAGGTCATGTCCACCAAAGCAGGAGCGGCTAGGCTGCCTAGGCTCAATCCTGAGTTGAGCACTTCACTAAGATAGATGTGGAAAGTCCAGCCACCCCTGTCCCAGCCACATCTATCTTGGCAGAGTAAAGGGACATGGGCATTTTGCTTGGCCAAGATAGCTACGGGCAGTCCATCTGCACATATCTTGGAGATGCAAAGCGATGACCATTCCTTGCTCAGCTGAAGCAGGCATAAGATAGCACTGTCATACTTATCTTGGAAAAGTAAAGGGACACAGATTATGGTCCTGCGGATATGGAAAATCTAGGAGTTGCAGTCCAATAGAAACAGAACTCTTCCAAGCTCTACCTATAATATGCTACACCTTCCACTGGGCTGAGCACAATTTTTCAGAGACTGCTTGATCGCCCCTGCAGACCTTCCCACCAAGGGACCTAGTTTCCTTCCCAGTTTCATGGACTCACAGCATCCCATCCTTTGTAGATCTAAACGATGCTCTTCTTACTTACCCACGGCAATGTTGTTTCCTACTCTGTGAACTGGCCATTACATCATTGCCTATACTTCTCCTGTAGCCAAATAAAACACTCCAGCTGCAGAGAAAGCTAAGAGAGATGTCACCATGGCAATCACAAGAATACTGTGGGTGTAGGTGAAGAAAGCACTGCTACTCTGAAGTGCTTCAACCACACATTATACAAGCATGAAATCATGTGTAAGACAGGTGCAGCTACTTCCTCGTGCTGCTAGGGTAGCCCATAAACCCTGTCCCCAAAGGCCAGAACCAAGCACAGCACCATCTAGTGATTACACCATATGATGACAGTGATTACACCATATGTGCCAGATGCAGAAAGGTGTGAGTCCAAAATTGATCTTTTGAAGAGTCTAAGCTTCTAAAAGAAAAATCAAATTCATAGAATCACAGAGTTTATAGAGACCACAAAAGTCATTCTATCCAACTTCATTCCACCATTCAGGAAAGCACAAAGCACCCCCAACAAATGGCCATCCAGCCTACATTTGAAACCTTCAGAGAAGGAGACTACACTGGATTCCTAGGATGTATATTCCACTGCTGAACAGCTCTTACTATCAGAACGTTCTTCCTAATATTTATATGGAATTTCTCTATTTTTGTATCTTGTATAAAGGTGTTTAATTCTTATACATATGAAGACAGAAGAATCGAGTCTACTGCATATTGGAAGAATTAGAAGAGGCCAAATCAAGAATCTATTACTCACTTTCTCACAAGTCTACTTTGCAATTCCTAAAGACAGCCTTGAATATATAGTCTGACCCAGACCACAAAATATTTAGTAATGATTTCATTAGGATTTTTTAAAGCCACACTTCAAATCTTGCAACTAGATAAATAGTATTCCAACTCCCCATGGACATTTTTGAATTAAAAAATGACTTTCAAAAGAAGTGCTGAAGTGTTTTCCAGAAGATGCCCACTTTCCCTTGTGTATCTTTCAGTCCCTTTTCTTGTGAGCACAACCAGATTTATCTTTGTGACTAAATTCCCAAGAGTAAAGCGACATCTACCTCCTAGATGTTGAAGAAATTGAAATGACATTTGGTGCTACGTTACAATATTGATCAGACTCTATCTTTCTGCTCTCCCTTGATCCGTTACTTGGCTCTTATTTGCAGAGATTCCCACTCGTTACTGGAAACAAAGTGCAAAAGACAATAATTGTGACATTAAGAGCATTGGAAGTTCAGTGATGATGTAAACAGATGATCCTTAATATGTCAAATGTCAGGGAGACAACCTCTGTGCTTTGGGCTTAGATAGAGAGAATTAGCACATGATACGGGAATGGTCGAGACTTCCTTTAGGATTCCAGAAGAGTGTGCCACCTGCAAATCTGCTGAGATTTGGATTCTTTCATCTCGTGCCAGTGGTTCTGCTCCTCTTCTCCACTACTGTTCTGACCCATGGAGAGCCAGCCAATCATCTCCTTGCGCTTTATGCTCCGTCGGTTGTAAATGGAGATCATCAGTGTGACATCTGACAGCTGAAACAAGGCAACCTGAAAGACGAAAGTCTCTTTGTAGACAGGATTGGGCTGTCCTCGGCGGACAGACGTCTTGCAACGGGACATCTCCTGGCCAATCGAGTTGAGGAGGCAGAGCTTTCCGTAGGTATCTGTAGGAGAAATGAAATGTCATTTAAGATGGGAAAATATCCTCATTTTTTTTTAAAAAGAAAACACATTACACAAATGGCTGCTAAGAAGATTCTTTATGTATCCTTAACACATGAACCTAACCCTTCATTGATACTAATGTAGAAGAACAATGTGATGACAATTTGGAAAATACTGAGATATTCTTATGAACATTATCAACTGGGAGTTTTAGCTATTACTTTACTTAGGCGATCCCTCGTTGGATGAGTAGGATAGTCTTCCATGACCTGTATTCTTGTGGATCTGTAGGTGGCTGTGGAGCCCTATTCTTGACCTGCATCTTCTCCCACAGTGAGCGCATTGGTTCCCAGGTGGAAGGCGGTCTCGGTCAGGGTTGGCTTGATGTGCCTTCCTCCTGGCACACTTCTCTCTTTCACCCTCCATTTGTGCCTTTTCAAATTCTGCAGCACTGCTGGTCACAGCTGACCTCCATCTGGAGTGCTCAAGGGCCAGGGCTTCCCAGTTCTCAGTGTCTATGCCACAATTTTAAGGTTTGCTTTGAGCCCATCTTTAAATTTCTTTTCCTGCCCACCAACATTCTGTTTTCCATTAAGTTCAGAGTAGAGCAACTGCTTTGGGAGATGGTAATCGATCATCTGGACAATGTGGCCCGTCCAGCAGAGTTGATGGCGGAGGACCATCGCTTCAGTGCTGGTAGTCTTTGGTTCTTCCAGCACCCTCTTCAAATTCTGTAGCACTGTTGGTCACAGCTGACCTCCAGCTGGAGTGCTCAAGGCCCAGGGCTTCCTAGTTCTCAGTGTCTATGCCAGAGATTTTAAGGTCTTTAGCTATATGTCATGATCTAAAAACATTACTCTTTAGGGAAGGCTAAATTGATTGTATGGATCTTTTAATCAATGGCTATTGCCATACTTTATTGTTGTATTGCTCTTGCTAATTTTATATATCTGGTTTTAAATGTGTTATTGGTTTTAATGCTGATATATTGTATTTTATATGTTGTATGGCACCATTGTGTGCTATTTGTAAGCCGCCCCGAGTCCTGACGAGAGATGGTGGCCTGGTATAAAGTTATTATTATTATTATTATTATTACATGTGCAGTTCTTCCTCCACTCCTACTAATATTTTATTTCATATTATTTGTTCTGCTTAAGAAACACAAAATGTGAAAATTCTCTTTAGGATTCAAGACATTTATTTACATAGCTCAGAATGAAGGAGATTCTGTTTCTTTTTCTCGTATTTTACTCCCACATCTGTTCCACAAATCAGATATACTGGATATGCATGCTGTTATAAACAAAGCTATTTTTGATAAATAAGTTTTTTTCTGTGTTTAATCAGAAGCATTTAATCCCTTTCTTCCAGTTTATTCTTAACTTTCCAAAGAAATCTTGCTCATTCACATATTACAAAATAGAAAATCAAAAGATATTGTGGAAAAAACACAAACGACAGAGCAAATCTAAGGTCATTTCTGGATTTAGAATACCAAATTCCTATACAACCAGCATGCATTTTTTAAAAGGGTTTTATGACCCTCAGTTTGTAGTCCTGTGTTCACTGGATATAGCAAACACAATAAGAATTTAAGACCCAAAATACTGGCATTGCAGAGAAATTGGTTGGTCCCTGCTGGTAGAGCACTTTGTTTTTCTCGATGTTCAGTGAAAGGCTCATCTTTTCATATGCTTCATATGTTTCTGGAAAGATGTTTAAAGTGTCTTGTAGGTCAATGACTGGCATGTACAGGGGTTGATTTTGTTCCCTGCATTTTTCTTGAAGCTGTCATGCAGTGAGGATTACATCCACTGTTCCTCTGGAGGGGAAGAAGCCATTCTGGGATTCAGGGAGGACTCCACAAGTTTATTGAAAAAGTGTGGGTAACCAAGAAGATCCCAGCAGACTTCAGGGATGCCATTTTATTTATTAAAATATTCCCATCCAAACCCAAGTAACGAAGGTGGAGGTATTAGTTTTCATTCAACCCTCGTATTCAACAGTCTCTGAATTGACACAGAGAACAGAGGAATAAAATAGTCTTTTTAAATAGTCTTTAAAATATGCCTCATGCCTTAAAATGATCAGGCTTCAAATATTTCACAGTCAGCACTCTCTCTTCACTGTCCAAAGTGAAAGTGACAGTTAGAACCATTGGTCTCAGCTGCTAGCCAGAGGCAGCAGCCAATCAGAACTCTTGCTCCTGGCATCAGGCCCGTAGCCAGGATTTCGTTTCGGGGGGGGGGGGGGCTAAAAAATTTTCAGGGGGGTTGGGGGGGTGAGTTTCGGGGGGCTGAGTCTGAGTGAAAGAGGGTCTAGCCTAGCAAACCTTTTGTATCGTTACCCCTATACCCCCATGCATATGGGATATATTGAGTATGGTGATCAGATCATGATATGAATAAACATAACAGTTTAAATAATGCACCAGTAAGGCCTTTTCGCGAACCACCATGAGAATTTCGGGGGGGGGGTTGAAGCCCCTCAAGCCCTCCCCCCCCCCCCCCCCGGCTACATGCCTGCCTGGCATGCTCACATGCCTGCCTGCTGACACATGTCTTTCCAGTTAGCCTGTTACATCATGACGTCCCTTTTCAAATCCTCACACTCTTGGCCAGAACTATCTACACTTTAAGAATATAAGATGAGTGCTGCTGGATCAGACCAAAGCACAAAATGGCAAACCAGATGTTAAGGGAAATCTTGCAAGTAAAATGGGAGAACACCATAACCCTCCTGCTTGTGATCTCCAGAAATTAGTTTTCACAGACATAGTAGTACATTTGATACTGGAGGTCATCCACAGCCGCCATGATGAGAAACCCTTACTTATTTGCCTAATGTGGCACATGCTGTTGATTCTGTCAATGCATCCTGGGTGTGATCCACTAAGACAAAAAGTAAATAGGACATAAATGGAGGAGCTGTATCTGATAAACTAAGGAAGTGGAATTTGCTTCAAAGGCAGAAAACCAAGCTCAGTTGGCAAGAGTCATTAATCCATTTCGCTATCAGTCATATGGAAGGGGCACCCACCCTTGTTTGCCAGGCTCCACCTATGGCATAAGGGAAGTTTGCCAAAACAAACAGAAAAATGTAGCGCCCTGTCTGATTCAACATTGTCCTGTCATTCTGAAAATGAACACTCTGTAGGCATCAAGATGCTTCCCATTCTCCACGTGCACTCAGAGACAACTGAGAATTTGATTTCACTTCACCGGAAAAGGTGGACTATATCTAGTTCTTTACTTTAGAGTTCAAAAAATGCAGTAAATCCCAAGAGCAAGAATCATGAGTGAAGCATAGGAGGGAAAGTGACACATATAGAGAGATTTCTGGGGCCCAAGAAACTTCAGAATACCACTGGATCCGTCTCCTTTTCAGTGTGGACCGTTAGTGGTGGCCCAATATCCTTTTAAGCTTAAGTGTAGCCTACATGTTGAAAAGGATCGATCTGTCTGTGATAACTAAACTATTTCTAGCTCCTCTATCCATGGATTATAGTTCCTTAAACTGATATAGAAAGCCAAGCCAATATACATTCATCACCATTGTTACAATGGCAAATGACCCAGAAGTACAACAGATATAGTTCAGAATACATTGTTTACTTTTATATTGACCACAGTCAAAAGAGCAAGTATCTCAATGCTGAGAAAACATTTGGTTTACTGTACAGATTAGTTGTTGCAAACAGAAGTCTGGCATGCAATATCTGGTATGCATCTAGTCCAGGGGAGGATTTTGCCATGTTACATATCTCATTATTCAGATTAAGAGCTAAATAAATACTCTATTTATTTAAAAGGTTGACTCTTTTCTTAGCCCAAATCCACACACCCACTCTTTAATTTCTGTGCCACTTCACATCTTATTACCATTGTATTTGTTTAATGAAACTAATTTGCTTCTGATATAATCACAGTTACGCAAGGTGTAATTTTCATATGAGATTATTTCTGCTTTTCCTAAGGAACAGTGAGGCTCAGGGCTTTGATTTTATCCTCTCTTGATTCATTGGGTGTCTTTTCTCTTGTTGGACCATTGTGCCATTTTCAGACTTTTTGGTGTCTGTTGTTGTTCATTCGTTCAGTCGTCTCTGACTCTTCGTGACCTCACGGACAGGCCACGCCAGAGCTCCCTGTCAGCCGTCACCACCCCCAGCTCCTTCAAGGTCAGTCCAGTCACTTCAAGGATGCCATCCATCCATCTTGCCCTTGGTCGGCCCCTCTTCCTTTTGCCTTCCACTTTCCCCAGCATGATTGTCTTCTCTAGGCTTTGCTGTCTCCTCATGATGTGGCCAAAGTACTTCAGCTTTGTCTCTAGTATCCTTCCCTCCAGTGAGCAGTCGGGTGTCTACATTTTGCAAATTTATTTCACAATAAAACTCCAAGAAGACATTTTGAACTATGAGGAATCTACCACCCTACTTGCACAACACACAACAGAGGTTACATACTCACACATTAACACCCATTCCAGGTTTTATTTCAGCCAATGAATAATGAAATAACTTTCACAGAAAAATCCCTCTGTTTTTTAAAAAAGCCATAAATTTACATGGCAAGGGATGACACCTTCAATGGTTAGAGCTGCTTTTTCAGGCGAGGAATGGAAAATCATATCCTGGGAGCTTGTATAAATGCTATTTTAGATTGTAAGTCGCTCGGAGCACCTTGGTGGAGAGCAACTAATTAAGAAATAAAGTGAAGTGAAGTGAAGTGAAGAAGCTTGAATAGGAGGGAAAAACCCACACTGAGCTCTTTGAAGGAAGATTGCAAAATAGCAACAATAAATAAGAATTACTTTGCATTTTGATTCAATACCAGATTGCAGAGCAACTGAAATTGGGCTGTCCGAGGGTTCATCTATGCTTCTCCTGTGCCAACATTACAGAATATGCTAGACATCAACCTTGAATGGGGACAAATTATCTTTAACAAAACAGTACAAACACCAGCAAACCTGACAGCAGTTCTGAAACACCAGATGTCAAATGAAAAGCCCCAAAGACAAATTGCCATCAAAGATATTGTACCTGCACAATCTCTGAAGCCCTGTGACAAGGGCCAACAGATGACACAAGAAATCAACAGCGTTCCTTTCAGTCCTACTGAACAATAGGCGCTAGCCTCCCTTCACAGTTTTATTTATACTAGAGCTACCCAAGGTGCTAAATGCTAACTATAAGATAGGTTTAGCACCTTGGAGAGATCCTTTAAAATCTGAGCTAAAATCAGGAGTGTATTCCCTAATATGGAAGGCAACTGCTTCTACTGGCTGAGCTGCTACCAACAGCCTACTGAACAATCTGCAGCTATAAGAGACCTCACCCAGAACCAAGCAGGAGACTAAACTGAACTGCAAAAATGTATGGTATGTTGAGGACAGAAGTCAGGTAACTTAATGGCATTTGGTCATATCAGTATTTTCAAGTAATCATGGTTTCAGATAGCAGGAAGCATATCCCTTGCAGACAGGAGAGTCCTACTGTAATTTTTGTCCTGTTGCTGCCTCTAGTCAAGCAGGCTTCTCAGGTTATTCAAACACACAACCCTCCCCCCAAAACACTATATGTCATATATACTTGTGTATAAGCTGGGTTTTTCAGCACATTTTAAATGCTGAAAAGGCCCCCTCAGCTTATACTCAAGTGAGGGTCCTGGGGGGAAGATGTGGGGCTGAAAAAGCCCTTTGCAGGGCTTCTACCAGCTGCACTCCTCCTCCCCTTTTGGCACAGCAACCAAGTTGGATCACTGTGCCAAGAGGGGAGGAGAAGAAGGTGCATGGTTCATCAGCCACACACATTCCTGCCAAGCAGGGGCCGGCTCCCCTCTCAGCACTGCAACTCAACTGAGTTACTATGCTGAGAAAAGCTGTATGCCTTCCTCTTCTTCCCTCTCAGCACAGCGACCTAGCTGAGTCTCTGTGCCAAGAGAGGAGGAGAGGAAGGTGCATGGCCTCTCAACTTAGCACAAAAACCCAGCTGTGTTGCTGTGCCGAGAGGAGAGGAGAAGCTGCATGCCTTCCTCTACTTTGCTCTCAGCACAGCAACCCTGCTGGATTTCTGTGCCAAGAGAGAAGGAGGAGAAGATGCATGGTCTCTCCACTCAGCACAGCAACCCAGCTGTGTTGCTGTGCCCAGAGGAGAGGAGGAGCTGCAATCCTCAATGAATGTGATTTTATTGGTATCTATTTTTATTTTGAAATTTACCAGTAGCTGCTGCGTTTTTCACTCTAGGCTTATACTTGAGTCAATAAGTTTCCCCAGGATTTTTGGGGTTAAATTAGGTGCCTCAGATTATATTTGGATCGGCTTATACTCAAGTATTGTGCTGGTACGGCTGTACCAGGAGCTCCAACTTTATTTGCTTTGAATTTAATGTTTGCTTGCAGTCCAATGTTTCAGGGATTCTGCAGAAGGGTGGCTTCCTTTGGTTGCAGTTGTAGGGCAAGTCACCTGTCCACCATAATTAAGCTTTGGTTCCACCCCTTGTTCAGGGCTCTGGGAGGGAAAGGAGCCATTTTTTGGTCAGTCTCACATAAGGAAGCTAAACTATAGGACATAGACCAGCTTGTCCCGTAGAAAAGCTTCTTTTCCCGAACATCCGGGGAAATAGAAACAGAAACTCCAGGGAAAAGGTCCCAAGGCTCTGGCTGAGAGCTCACAGCCTCTCAGCCTCACAGCAATCAGAGGGAAAACAGCCCTGAAGTTTCAAAGAATTCTCTGAGAGAGGACAGCATTACAGATCCGTGGAACTCCAGCTGAAATATCATCAAGCCTCGGCTGGTAGGTCTACTCAATATCCAGACACATTTGGAATCGGTAGTAAGACCCACACCGATGAGGCATAGATAGTAAGCAGCCTGAGAGAGGTTAAATAGGGTTTTTCCTACAGAGAAAGTACAGTTAATTAAAGTCAGGTACCAGTCCATTGAGGACTAGTCTAAGAAAACCTTGAAGTGTTGTTTGAACCATTGAAGATTTGTTGTTTGTTCCATAATAAAGACTTTGTTGTATCATTAAAGACTCTAAAGACCATCACTTCAGAAAAATCCTTGAGAACCTCTCTTTGAGGTGTCCCTGGCTTCCCACTGTGCTTAAAGTATACGTCCTATAGAAAAGTACAGCTGTTACAGGCCCAGCATGCGACAGAACAAGTATATACGATAATAATTATAATAATCTTTATTTATACCCCGCCACCATCTCCCAAAAGGGGACTCGGGGCGGCTAACATGAGGCCAAGCCCAAAGACACAAAATAAAATACAGAATGCAGACAACAAAAAATTACATCAAAATAAAACACATACAGTAGCAGGATAAATAAAACCAATTAACACAATACAGTAACTCATTTGGATCAAAGGCAAAAGTGTGAAGTGTGGAGACACAGAGCAAGGCATTCTTTTCAAACTGCCTTTTACTATCTGGAGAAAAGAGAAGCCTTTACTTGCTACATTTGTAGTGCTTAAAGCAGCTAAATCCCAGTGCCAGTTGACAGGTTTTCCAATTCATGTCTCATAGCCAACAAGGCAGGACACAACTGAATAGCAGCAGGGCAACCATTTTACGTACCCGGTGGCCTGTTCACTGCAAGGTTCCGGAAGTGGCTTCCTTTGATCATCTCTACCGATAATCGCCCTGTTGTAGCATTGTAGGACAAGCCGACCAGTAGTTCTGGAACCCCTCCATGTGACAGAGACTGGTTTGAAGAAGCGCTGTCACTGTGAGAGATGGCGGACAGACTGATTTGGGAGCCCCCACTCTGCAGAAATGGTTGGAAAGGAAATGAGAGGGAAGAGGAGAGAGAGAGAGAAAATATTTGATAGAATGAAATCTTCTTGTGTTCTTTTTAACATCAAACTTAATGTCCCCAAAATCAGGACTCTGGCATTAAACTTCCCAGAATCCTCAAGCCAACAAGACATATAGAGAAAGTCAGTTTGGACTATAACTCCAAAAATTCCTCTATCTTTATAGTATTGGAGTGATCTGTTGCAACAAATATAAAGTGTCTTGTACTTACTTACTTACTTTACTTAGGCGATCCCTCGTTTTCTGAGGATGATTGTCTTCCAGTGTTCTTGTGGGTCCATATGTGGCTGTGGAGCCCTATTCTTGCTCTGCATCTTCTCCCGCAGTGAGGGCATTGGTTTCCAGGTGGAAGGCGGTCTCGTCTTGGCACATTTCTCTCTTTCACCCTTCATTCGTGCCTCTTCAAATTCTGCAGCACTGCTGGTCACAGCTGACCTCCAGCTGGAGCGCTCAAGGGCCAGGGCTTCCCAGTTCTCAGTGTCTATGCCAGAGTTTTTAAGGTTGGCTTTGAGTCCATCTTTAATTCTCTTTTCCTGCCCACCAACATTCCGTTTTCCATTCTTGAGTTTGGAGTAGAGCAACTGCTTTGGGAGACGGTGGTCGGGCATCCGGACAACGTGGCCAGTCCAGCGGAGTTGGTGGCGGAGGACCATTGCTTCAATGCTGTTCTTAGCTTCTTCCAGCACGCTGACGTTTGTCCGCCTGTCTTCCCAAGAGATTTGCAGGATTTTCCGGAGGCAGCGCTGATGGAATCGTTCCAGGAGTTGCATGTGACGTCTGTAGACAGTCCACGTCTCACAGGCATATAGCAGGGTTGGGAGGACAATAGCTTTATAAACAAGCACCTTGGTATCCCTACGGATGTCCCGGTCCTTAAACACTCTCTGCTTCATTTGGAAAAATGCTGCACTCGCAGAGCTCAGGCGGTGTTGTATTTTCGGTGTCGATGTTGACTTTGGTGGAGAGGTGGCTGCCAAGGTAGCGGAAATGATCAACATTTTCTAATGTTACACCATTAAGCTGTATCACTGGCATTGGAGAGGGGTTGGCTGGTGTCTGCTGGAACAGCACCTTGGTTTTTTCAATGTTCAATGACAGGCCGAGCTTCTCATATGCTTCTGCAAAGGTGTTTAGAGTGGCTTGTAGGTCTTCTTCTGCATGCGCACAGACGACGTTGTCATCAGCATACTGAAGTTCTATAACAGATGTGGTTGTAACCTTGGTTTTGGCTTTCAGTCTGCTGAGGTTGAATAGCTTGCCATCCATCCGATAGATTATTTCCACTCCGGTGGGAAGCTTCCCATCAACAAGGTGTCTTGTAACGCCATGAAGACTTTCAAGTTTTATTTGACCTAAATTCTTGTGGATATCTTTCCATTGCATCTGATGAAATAGGCTGAAGTCTATGAAAGCTTACACTCCATTAAGCTTGTTAATCTTTCAGGTGTCATCTGATTTGTCATAGTCCAAAAAATATTCTCCGAGCTCTGGGAAAAACAAACACTTACCAAGAAAATTGCAACCGACATAATCGTGCCCTGCCACATCTTAAATATTTAACAACAGAGGCTCTTGTGGAACATTAAACACTAACACATTTTATTTGGCACAAGCTTTCATGGAAGCGGCTGCAGTCCGCCAAGGCCTGCCAAGTAATAATGGCTAGTCTTTATGGTGCCACATTCATTTTTTGCTGCAATAGATTAATACAGGTAGCTGCCCACATCAAAATTAAAGACTTAAAACACCTGAACTTCTATAGGCCAGATCCAGATTTGGCAACATCCTGTTGGCATTTTGCAGTCAAACAAATTCCCTTAATGTCTGCCTTTTCCCCCAAGGCATAATGTCTGTTATTTAGTTCACAGTTGCAAACACTGAGTTCCTAAAGGGTTGTGCATGCAGTTTTTCCTTCTTAGATATAACGTAACTATTTCTCAGTCCTTCCAGTATACTATTTGATTCACCAGGATTTTCAGAGTTATTTCTCTATTTAGCCTAGGTCGGTGGTTCAAATCCAGGGAGTGGGGTGAGCTCCTGCTGTTAGCCCCAGCTTCTACTAACCTAGCAGTTCAAAAACATGCAGATGTGAGTAGATCAATAGGTACCGCTCTGGTGGGAAGGTAATGGTGCTCCATGCAATCATGCTGGCCACATGACCTTGGAGGTATCTACGGACAACGCTGGCTCTTTGGCTTAGAAATGGAGATAGGTACCACCACCCAGAATCGGACACGACTAGACTTTAATGTCAAAGGGAAACTGTTACCTTTTAGTCTATTATTATCTGACATAACTGGTCACAACTTCAATAACTTTCTTTCTCACCCCACCCATTTTTTGTAGGAGACAGTAGGGGCTGGAAGTGAGAACTATAGCCAAACTGAATATATACATATACATATATATATACACACACACACACACACATATATATATATACAGAGAGAGAGAGAATGTCTTACCAATGTGGCAAAACATCAACAACTGAGCTGAAATGTACATATGTATGTATTACCCTGCCTATTGTAGACAGACACACACAGCTATGGTTGGATGAGAAAGAGTAGAATTGCAATTTTTCACAGCTCCAACTTTATTGTATTATAGTCACTGCATAAGTGCTGCTGCATCCTGACATTAAAAATATATTACAGAAAATGCTATTAAAAGGAGCTTCTTTCTCAGAGGTTTTGTTAACTGAGGTATGCCTACATTGAACCATTCTGTCATATCTGCTACTGAACTCTAGGTGAGGATATCTGCTAGCTGCCCAATTCTGGAGAGCTGATACAAGACTTAGGTTGGAAATATATATTACATACATATACGTGGAACAAAAGGCCAGCAAATGTGCTTGGCTTTTTTTAGCCTAGAAAACATCAATAGTTTGGAAAGGATGAGTTGGGAGAGAGCTGCCCTATGGGGACAGAGGGAAGTGGGTTGGTTAACCCTCTGCCTGGCTAGAACTTCACAGTGTGGCAGAACGAGGTTGCACGGGATGGCCCTTGTGGCCCTTCCAGTTCTATCATTAATTTCTAGCACGAATGGCAGGCAAAAGAGAGAAACGTGCAAAGAGGAAGGCGCATCAAGCCAACCCCGACCGGGACTGCCTTCCACCTGGAAACCAATGCCCTCACTGTGGGAGAAGATGCAGATCAAGAATAGGGCTCCACAGTCACCTACAGACCCACCACCAGGATACTACACTTGGAGGACTATCATCCTTGGACTATGAGGGACCGCCTTAGTAAGTTAGTAAGTAATTTCTAGCAATCACCCCTTAGCTGGAAAGAGGGTCCAAAGTTGTGTCTGCCCACCCCAAACCCAGCAGATGAGATGAGCAGGGGAAGGAGCCAAGAAAATCACAACAATGGTCAACCCAACAATGATGAGTAATTACATTCAGATTTTGAAACCAATATTGTGGATGGGCCTAGAGCTAGCATTGAACACTGGTTTGATGCTGGACTATGACCATGGTTTGACCATGATTAAACTTCCTACTCAGTCTTGAAAATCCACATGGTGGGTGGGCCACACACTCTCAACCTCACAAAATGCTCTAATGGGGTCACCATAACTCACAAATGACTTGAAGGCACAGACCTACAATAACAGGAGTCTCTTTATCTCTCTCTCCTATTTTCAACCCCAGTGAGCAGAAGCAATTGCTCCACAAGACATTTGAAGAGTCAGCCTAACTGAAAAAGGACTTACACACAAGTTGCTTCTTGGCTCCAAAACCAATGTCACCTTCATCTCTCCCTCTTGGTTGAGGTTGCTAAGATAAAAGAGCTGTTCGCCCATCATCCTCTCCTTGATCATTTTGCGCACAGAGTAAAGCCGGAAGCGGATGGCGTAGCGGCTCAGCTCCTCAGGGGGCAACTTGGTGAAGGTCACCTTGTCCTTGAATGCTGGGCTGGGGCCTCTCTGCACACTTGTTTTTCCCCTTTGCTTCTTACTGGGCATCAGGACCACATGGACCTGCCAAGCGCTCACTCCACTTCGGTCCTTGTCAGGAATATCCTTCGCCTCCAGGACAGTCACCAGCAGCTTCTGGGTGGAAGGTCTATAATCAAAGATGATATCTAGGTCTCCACACTTAGAAATGGGTTCACGGGGGCTAGAATGAGCTGGGAGCACATTTGCTCCTTCGTGTTCCTGTTAAGAAAGAAAACAAAAAGGGAGAAGAAAGCAGATGGGACATCAGAGGGAGGAAAGCAAGAAATAAAATTGCCGGAGCTCAGATATGCTGTCATTTTGGCAGTAAGGTGAGATTCAAAAGATCTACCATGTTCCCTTGGGGTGACAAGGAAGTGTGTACTCTGTTGAAGCATGTAAAAATCAGTTGGTGAGTGTATTAAGTGAAAAATGTAAAGCACGAAGCTGACTGGTTGGATTATGCCTGTGCTTATAGCTAAGCCTGGGAGTTTTGGCAACAGTTACATGTTTTGCTTTTCTGTGCAGGAACTTGCCAAGACAAGTTAGTATATTTTCTGCTTCTGAGCTGCTGGAAGAAGATCCTTTCAGATGGACACCCAAGGACCATTTGAATCTCTTTCAAAGGACATTGTGTGAGTCAATGTCCTTTGAAAGAGACTGCTCACATGACTGTACATATGTTGCTCTGCATAACAAAGAGCAAACACTTTATTTTTTACTGATCATCTGCATGGCATATCTTTTTTCCAGCAATACAGTGTGTGGATTGGTAAAGACGTGAACTACGTGTGATTTTCATTCTGCCACATACTCTTCTATGTATAAAGAAAAAGGAGGTATTAATCTGTTAAACCAGGGAGAATCAGAAGTGCAAATGGAAAATAAGGCAAGAGGGAGGATACTGTGGTCTGAGAAACAGGAAATAACAGGTACAAGTGGAAGAATAGGGACAGGGCTTGAATGAAATAGGAGTGACAAATGAAGTGAGTTGGAACATCTCAGAAACCCTCACATGTAATGCATCCAGCTTAAAGATTGGGCATTGTTGCCCTGTTAAGTGAGGAAGGGAAGTCCATGTTTAAAGAGAAAACTCTTTATTAATGGCTAATATGAGATACATATGGGCACTAAGATAAACAACAGGTTTCTGATAAGCCTTTCAGGTACACCCATCTGCCTTTCTGCAAAACATTTAAGTGATGAAACAGAATCAAGGCAGAGAGGGGAAAGGACAGATAAGCAGACAGGTGATCCGTTTCCTGGGTGGGTGTGTTTTCTGTTCAAAGGTGCTTTTTAATCTTGGACTAGAAAAGGTTGCCATAGAGATCACTCCTTTCTATTTAAACATGAGAACGCTATAAAAGAACAGGCTATTCAAGGGAACAGAGCAAGTCTGCACGACTTAAAGGTTTTACTGCTAGTACTATTTTTTTCAACACCTTGTAATTTTTTTCTTTATTTTCTTGTTGTAGACCACTGTTTTGTAGCTCGTGTGCTGCCTTGATATTGTTTTGAATATGGAAACACTAGGCATTATAGAAAAATCATGAACTATTTTTTTAAAAACACTTATGATCCATCAGGCCAGAACACCTGATATGACATGCCCTGTGTCCTGTCAGAATCTCACCAAAACCCTTTTCCTTCTATCATTCAGTCTTGGGAAGGCAATAAAAGCAGAACATGAACAGAGCCATTGAGGATAGGCTGGACTTGGAGGTCCTTCATTTATGGGGTCAACATAAGTCAATGTTGATTGGGTAGCAGTTAACATCAACTGACACTTATGGTATGCAGAATAACACATTAAAAGAAGATGTATAACAGAACACCTTAACAGTGACAAGAATGGTTCAGGACCTGCCTATCTTCGCAATGGCATCTTCCCCTACAAACCTGCGCCATCTCTAAGATCTTTTGGGAAGGCTTTCATCTCACTCCTACCTCTGTCATAAGCACGGTTGGTGAGGACAAGAGAGAGGGCCTTCTTGGTGGTGTCCCCCCGGCTCTGGAGCTCTCTCCCCAGGGAGATTAGGCTGGCAGCCATCCTATCCATCTTCTGTAATGATCTAAAATCATGGATGTTCTACTGTGATTTTGATTATACAGTTCCCCAGATAATTTTGGTCCCCAGTGATGATCCAAAATCTAGTCCTTGCATTTTACTACTGTTCCCTGTTGTTTTTCTTTATTCATTCAGTTGCTTACTCTTCATGATTTCATGGACCAGCCCACATCAGAGCTCCCTGTTGGCCGTGGCCACCCACAGCTCCTTCAAGGTCAAACCAGTCACTTCAAGGATCCCATCCATCCATCTTGTCCTTGGTTGGCCCCTCTTCCTTTTTTCTTTTTTTCCTTCCATTTCCTCCAGTATCATTCTCTTCTCCAAGCTTTCCTGTCTTCTCATAATGTGGTCAAAGGACTTCATCTTTGCCTCTAATATTCTTCCCTCCAGTGAGCAGCCAGACTTTATTTCCTGGAGTATGGACTGGTTGGATCATCTTGCGGTCATCTAGCTTTTGCACTTTAACCATCAGCCCTGTCCTCACACCTGATTTGCACCAGCCTGTCGCCCAAGCCCAGAAACTATTTACTATTTAATGCCATTGGTTGTTTGCTCGGTGATTGTTTTTATACTGTGTTATGTTGTTGTTGTATTATGATGTTGTCTATTTTAATTATGTTGATATTTTAACTATGTTGATCGGGCTTGTCCCCATGTAAACTGCCTCGAGTCCCTTTGGGGAGATGGAGGTGGGATAAAAATATAGTTTTTAGGTTCTTGCGGGTTTTTTCGGGCTATAGGGCCATGTTCTAGAGGCATTTCTCCTGACGTTTCGCCTGCATCTATGGCAAGCATCCTCAGAGGTAGTGAGGTCTGTTGGAATTAGGACAATGGGTTTATATATCTGTGGAATGGCTGGGGTGGGGCAAGGAGCTCTTCCCTGCTGCAGTTAGGTGTGAATGTTTCAGCTGATCACCTTCATTAGCATTTGACGGCCTGCCTGAGCCTGGGAAAATCTCTTGCTGGGAGGTGTTAATCTGTGCCTGGTTGTTTCCTCTCTGTTGTTTTGCTGTTGTAATTTTAGAGTTTTTTAATACTGGTAGCCAGATTTTGTTCATTTTCATGGTCTCTTCCTTTCTGTTGAAATTGTCCACATGCTTGTGGATTTCAATGGCTTCTCTGTGTAGTCTGACATGGTGGTTGTTGGTGTGGCCCAGCATTTCTGTGTTCTCAAATAATATGCTGTGTCCAGGCTGGTTCATCAGGGGCTCTGCTAAGTTATTATTATTACTGTAAGAATGAGCAAAAAGAAGAGCTTGGGGAAGTTTACATTTTTGGACCACTGCTTCCAGGCTGTCCCAGCTATCATGGTCACAGAAGATGGTACTTGGGAGATTCTCTAATATGTATTCCTAAACAGTACTGCTACAGATGAAGCTGCCTTCATCTGTAGCAGGTCAGATTTTTGATCCATGTATGATATTTCAACTTTTCCTCCAAGGAGTCCTCTATGTATGTGTGTTCTGTAATTCTACTTCAGAGTGCCATTTTGAGGAGAAAGTAAAGAGGAGATAAAGTAATCTGAGAAGCTTATTTTGTGCTACAGCACCCTGACTCTCACAGCTCTAGAAGGCTGTTTTCCTTAGTGACCAGTGTGTAAACAAATTCCTTAAGGGATTGGAAATTAGATATCCCTTACACTTCTTGAAACACACTTCATTCCAGTCTTTGTTTTAGATCTGTCTTCCAGTAGTCCTGTTACTTACAAACAATATCTCTACACACACATATTTCTTAAGTCTCTCAAGTGCCAAGTTCAATATTTTGGCCAAAGAAACATTTCTTAAGTCTCTAAAGTGGCAAGTTCAATGTTCTGTCTCCTAAGAAAAATGGCTGGTTGCCTGTGTTCAGCAATTACTCATTGCTTAGAGAACTGAGATTCTATATTGCCAGTAGCAGCTCATTCCCAATTCCCCAGGATCAAGAAGATTATGTTGGGTGCACTGTAACTTACAGGAAACTAAATGAGTTGCACAGAGTCCCTTCCATCATTGTAAAGCAAGAGTATAACGCAGAACATCAGAAATTATCTATAAATTCATTAAATGTTCCATCTTTTGGGAGTGCGTGAAATTATAGTGAAGCTACAGAAATGCACCCTATACTCTGGAAGATGAAGCAAAAAGGAAGTGCACAGGAGCCAAATCTTTTCCCTAGCCACATACTTGTTTCTTCACATTCTCTTTGTAATTTCAACTGATGTTGGCCCCCATGTCATCAGGGAAGAGAATCTACTGTAAGTTTTAGTTTTGCTTGCAAAGGTACTATCCAAGGTGCTGAAAACAGTTGGGGACCATGTTTCAGCACCTTGACTAGTTCTTTCATGGGGCCATGGTGGCGAAATGGGTTAAATCCTTGTGCTGCTGAACTGATAATCTTAAGATTGGCAGTTCGAATCCGCAGGATGGGGTGAGCTCCCACTGTTAGCCCTAGCTCCTGCCAACCTAGCAGTTCAAAAACATGTAAATGTGAGTAGATCAACAAGTACCTCCTCAGTGAGAAATGGCAAAAAGACGCTCCATGCAGTCACGCTGTCCATAGTCACCAGGAGGTGTCTATGGACAGCGCAGCTCCTCAGCTTGGAAATGAAGATGAGCACCTCCCCCAGAGCCAGAGATGAGCATAGCCTCATGAGCCAGAAATGAAAGGAGAAGCCTTGGCCTTTGTTTATGTATTTCTGTTTCATTGTATATAATTGTACCAAGGCATTGAATGTTTGCCTGTGTCTGTTTATATGCTGTAATCCACTCTGTGTCTCCTCAAGGAGAAGAGTGGAATATAAATGAAGTTTTATTATTTCAGATTTTAGATTAAAATTCAGAGCAAAACCACTGCTGCAATGACACGCAAACCACTAGCCATTACAGTCTCCAACTGTGCACCATCTGAGTATAGGAGACACTGCTATTCTTTTTAATATATATATATGTGTACGTGTGTGTCCTATATATATCCTGAGTTTGAGCTCAGTTCCCAACAATCTGGTCAGAATAGCATTATTCCAACTGGACATTGGTTTGTAGAACTGGAAACTGGCACTCCTGGTAGGCAGAACGGTAATTAACAAGCACAATAAATGGATAATGATAAATAGAAGAAGAAAGAGAGAGAATATACCCTGAGAGTGTACAAGCTAATTTTCAGCTACCTAAGT